GGGGGACGGGGGGCTCTATCGACCACACGCGGCCGCGGCGACCTGTTTTCGGGTTTAGGCCTCACAGGACGAGAGCCGGTGCTTGCAGCCCGCCCTCCGCACGCCACCCCCGTGGCAAAGCCCCGGGTTTCGGGCAACTTCCCAGGCAAACGGGCTCCTTTCCTCCCCCCGCAGCTTTTCCCTCGCTCGCCTCTCGTTTGCCACCCCGGGGCTGGGACCCCTGCAAACACCCCCCTTTCCTCCCGGGACGACGGGGGTTCGCCTTGGGGTACGTTTCCCGTCCCACCCCCCAACCTTTCTGGCCCCGGTGCTGCCCAGTCCCTTCCGTGCGGCCGGGGAAGGGGTGGACGGACCCTCCGGGGGGGATCCCAGGGGTGATTACCTTCGGGGAAGACGGCTCGCATTTTCAGGTAGCTAGTGGTGAGGCGGATGATGGACGCCTTGTCCAGCTGGGAGGTGATGGCCGAGGGCAGGGGCAGGAGTTTGGCCAGTTCGTAGAATTCTCCATTTTCTTTTTCCCGTCTAGTCTTTGCCGCGTTCTTGGATTTTTCCTTCATCGCGACTACTGCAAGGCGAAGATGACACTGGCATATTAGACCCGATTCTTCCGAATTGCAGGGAGCATGGATTTCGGCTTCAGAGTTAGTATTTTCGTTTAAGGAAGGGAGGGAAATTCACCCAAATAAAATCAAATAATAAAAATAATAAAAGAAAGGGGGGGGACACGACAAAAAAAGGGGTCGGAGGGGAGGGAAAAAAACGCCAAACCAACCAAACAAAAACAACACCAAGAGAAATGGTGCGAGGAGGTGGGAGGCGATCTCTGAGCCACAACCACGACAAGGCGAGCCGCTCGGGATAAGACAGTTCTGCTCTGACCCTGCGGTATCTAACGCTTCGAAACCGAGACTGAAAGACCTACACGAACCACGGTCCTCTGCCTGCAGCTGGAAATCAGATCTTCTCAACGGGGAGCAAAGGGCCGGGTTCCCCTTCACTGAAGGATTTCGTCTACTCAATCCTCCCCCGTCCAAAAATAATAACAAAAAAAGATTAAAAATAGAGCGTCCACGCGAGAAATCATTGGGCTAAGCAGGCTGAACCATTTTTGGACATTACGACTCTTATAAAAAAAAATAAAAATAAAAGAAAGAAAGAAAGAAAAGGAAAGACCGGGCTGTTCGTTTAACGAAGTGCAAAATGATCTGGTCCCGGAGCCCGAGATGCCGAGGAGACGAGGAGCCGGCGAGGCAGAACGCTAAACGAAAGTCAGAGCCGGTGCGGAGGGAGCTGGTGGCTGGAGCGCTCCGAAATCACCAGCTCGCATTTCCTTCCTTCCTTTCTTCCTTCCTTTTCCTTCCTTCCTTCCGACGCTTCCCTCTCGGCCAGCTCTCGGCAGGCGGCGGCTGGTCTTCGCGGCAGAAAGACGCTTCTTTTCCCCCTTCCCCGAGGGGCTGCTTCAGCGCCGGGGCGCGGGGGGCGGCGGGCCCGGCGGGGCGGCGGTAGCGGTGGCAAATTAAAGGATTCGTTTTCCTCGGGACCAGTGCCACTTCAGCGTTGTCTCTTTCCAAACAAGTCCGAGCGCTGGCAAAGGCGCGGGTTTGATTTTGTTGGATTTATTTATTGGTTTTTCTTTTTTTTTTTTTTCTTTTTCTTTTCCCCTCCTTTTAAAGAAAAAGAATTTGCAGAGATCAGGAATTGTTTCTTTTTTTTTATTATTATTATTATTATTATTATTTTGTCACGTATTTAAAGAGCAGAGCGGTGGCTCTTCCGCATAGACATGCCTTTCAAAGGCGGAGGGAGGGTTTGCTGCATTCACCTCCCGCAAGGAGCAGCGATCCTCACCATACGGCAAGGATCGAAGGTAAAATTCCCCTCCTCTCGGAAATCCTAGCTCCTCGCCTGAAAGCACCGATATCTCCGTTTTGGTTTTTTTTTTCAGGGGTAGAAGGAGCTCTGAAGTGGACCCCTCGGTTAATTCTTTAGCAAAGGCTGCAGAAAGCCAGGAGAGCCTCAAGAGGGGAGGGGATAATGTATCCGTGACGTGTCCTCCCGCGCAGCGCCCTCCGAGGGACCCAAATACAGAGGAGCCAGAAAAGAGCCGCAATTAGCACTTGCGATGGGACGGGAGGCCGGGGCGAGGGGGAGCCGGGGGCGGGGGCCGTTTAGCTGTGGCAGCCCGAGCCCGCTCCCCCCGACCTCCCTACGCGGCCGCGGAGCGCCGGCAGGGACCCGCGGCCCCCTTGCCCCGTAACCTGCCGTCCCTCACGTACGCGATCGGCCGTGACCCCACGGCGCCGTTTGGGGCGGGGGGGGGTGGACATGTCGTACCCCCAACCGGCACCCGGCTGCCGCAGGGGGGCCGGGGCACGGCCACGCGTGGGGCCGCGACACGCGAGGGCCCTCCGTCACCAGACCCCGCTGCACCGCCATTAATTCACCCCTGTTGTTTTTACACTGGGTGAAAGTGGGGAAAACATACCTGCGTACTCACACCCGCGTGTGCGTGTATAGTTTGTACACATACATGCGCATATATAGCGCACACTTATACTATATATACACGTTATATATATTTTGCATATACAATGACGTCTGCGCATGCATGTATTTATACATGGCCGCACACGAGTACATCTGCAGGGGCACACGCACATACATATATATATTTATACGTGGCCCCTCGCACTGTTGCCTGCGGGGGAGGCGGCGGGGGCTGGCGAGGGGGCTGCCCGCTGCTCTCCCCGTCGGTGCCGTGCCGGCAGCCGCCGCTCATCGGCCCCCGACGTGACTCCCCGCCGCCCGGCGGGACACCGGTGACCAGAGCTTAACCCCGGAGCAGCCGAAGCGGCTCGCCGAGGGAAGGGGAAAAAACTCCCCGAGCTCCTGGGCTTTACCGGTGCCCCCGGACCCCTTCCCTCCAGGCGGCCGAGACCCTGCGGCGGCCCCACGCACCCCGGAGTCGGGCGACACGGCTCTCACGGGGCTGTAACCGCAGGGATCGGGGCCACCGTTGCAGAGGTTGTCACAGCGGCCGCTAAAACAAGCACGATGCCCGGGGTCCTCCCCTCCCCGCCAGCATCACGTCCCGAGAGACAGGACCACGCAGTGCCCGGCCTGGCTTTGATGCGCCCCCGACCCCGAGGGTACCGCCGGGCTGCTGCGAGGGGCAGAGGCGTGGGGACACATATACACACGTACATACACCCACCCCGACGGGAAACCGGCCCTGCCCCTCGCGAAAAGCCGTCCTGCTCAGGGACACGCGTGATCCCATCGCCATCCCGGCTGTGCGGGGGGAAGCCGGGCTGCAGCGGGGCGATTAAAGCAGCGAGGAGGAAAAACCTCGGTGCGAAGAAAAGGAGGGAGCAGGCGGAGCGGCGGGCAGAGCCCGGGGAGACGCGGCTCCGCCGCCGCGGAGGAGAGGAGGGCGCCGAGGGGGATGAGATCGCCCGTTTGCAAAACACAATGCACCGGTCCTTAATATTAATCCCCGGGAGAGGCCTGGCCGGCGGGCGAGTGTGTTTGCTTAAGCTCGCCCGCCCCTCTGTAATTATCCTATTACACCAGAAAGGGCCCGGCCCGGCGTTGTCGAGGGAAAGGCCACGATCTTTAACCTCCCCGCCGTCGGCGGAGGCCCCGTCTCGGCGGGCGGGACTTGCGCGGCCCCCCGCGCCGGCACCGCTGCCCCGGCGCTCCCCTCCCGGGCCGCCCCCCCCCGAGGGGACGCACCGCCCGGGGGAGCCGGTTTCCTCACCCCGCGCCCGGGGGATGGCGAGTGGGGAGGAGGTTTTTGCAGGGAGGACACCGGGAACAGGCGCTCTTCCCCCGCCGGGGGGGCTTAGGCTGGAGCTGGCTTCCAGATTAAGGAAACCTGGGCGAACGGATGGCACAGGGGAGCCCGGGCGATGTGACCCCGTTTTACCGCTCCCGCACAGCCCTTTTTACCCGCAAAACAGGAGCAGCGCCGCAGCCCTCCCGCAGGGGTGTCACTGGCACGGGGACAGGCTTGGGGACAAGTCAGCGATTAAACCCACCGCTGTGTTTTTCTTCTTACGGACTCATGCTCCGGTTAGGATTTTTCGCCCAGCAAAACAAACCAAATAAATGTAGAAAAAAAAAAAAGAAACCAAAACCCCAAAAACCAAACCCAACAAAAACTACCGGTGGAAAAGAAACTTCAGCCTTTCGGGGAAATTCTCAAAATTCAATACAATCTCCGCCCGCCGCCGAAACTGGACTCGTTAGCAGAGGTAAAAAAAAAAAAAATTATACGGGGGAAAAAATATTATATACATATATATACGTATATACGCGGAAAAGTAGCTGTATTTCAAGGCAGGTCCTAACGGGTTCCATACAACAAGGTCCGCGATCGCTAACCCCGAGAAGGAAACCGTGTGGGACATTTCTGTGTCCTACAAACAACCTACAGGGACGAGGGATTTTGGTCCCAAAGGAAAGCGAGAGGAGAGAACGTTACGTTTCTGGCAAATTTCTGTGGTTTGGAGAAAGGGCAGGTTTGCGAATGTTTGCGGCATCACCTCGACATAAAAGAAAAATCCCGCTGCTCCAAGGGTGGCCCAAACCCGGCGAGGTGGACTCGCAATATTCCACTCGGCGAGTCCGAGGGGGCTGCAGGGACCTTCGGGGAAGGGCTTCCCTCCGCCCGTTTTAATAAGAAACTCCGCTCCGGGGAGGAAAAGAAATAGGGAGAATAAATAAAACAATTAATGATTAAAATATCCGGATCGTATTTTCACTGATACGGTATTGCTGAATGAGAAATTCGGCGCCTACAAAAAGCACTGTTATTTAACAACCCCTTTTTTTTCCTTGGTTCGGGAGGGAAACTCTCCCGCGGGCGGGAGGTGAAGGGAACGCGGTCCTTTCTCAGGTGAGCTGTGTTGAGGGGAATATTCCGCCAATTTCCCTCTCCTCAAAGGTGTAAACTAAAAATGGAAAATAAGTGGGAAAGCTCGTGGGGGAAAAAAAAACCAAAACAAAAAAAAACCCCCACAAACCCCAAAACCAAGCGCAAAGCACCACCCCACAAATAAACCGGCAGCTCCTCCGCCGCGAGTGGCGCATCGCCGGGCTGCAGCGCGCAGGGAGGCAGCGAGGCTTGCGCGGAGGGGCCGAACCTTTGCGCGCCCCGCGGTGTGTATGTGTGTGGGGAGGTTCGGGGCAGTACGCGGGTAGGTGACCGCGGAGCATTTCCCCGCGGCCCGCCGCGGAGAGGAGCGTGTGTGTGTGTGTGGGGGGGATGCCAGGCGCGCAGTCCACGCGTGTCCACGTGGCTCTGGGGACAAACCCCAGGGGCTTACTTTACACCGGGGCGTGGAGGCGAGGTGCCGGGGGAGGCGCTGACGAAGGGGAAGCTAAAGACGAGGAGTTTAACGTTTTTTTGGTTTTTGTTGTTTTTGGTTTTTTTTTTTTTTTTTTTTTTTTTGGGGGGGGGGGGGGGGGGGGGGTGGGGTTTTTTTGGGGGGGTTTGTTGG